GTGTGTGTGTGTGTGTGTGTGTGTGTGTGTGTGTGTGTGTGTGTGTGTGTGTGTGTGTGTGTGTGTGTGTGTGTGTGTTGGGGGAGGAGGGGGGCGCTGATTTCAACTGCTTTGTGGAGGATGTGGTTTTCTATGAACTACGGCATGTTTTGACAGTTGTAAATTGTAATGTTTTGATGAAACGGTTGTCTCATTGTTGCATTAATGATAGCTGCAAGGTCCACCATGTCTGTGGTTTTGAGCATGACTTTTCAGCACACCTGCACACCTGTGTGTGTGTGTGTGGGTGGCTGCGGGTATGGGTGTGTTGGCATGTCCGTGTGGGTGTGTGGGTGTGTGGGTGTGTGGGTGTGTGGGTAGGCATGGGTGTGCGCATGTGGGTGTGGGTGGGTGGGTCTTTGAGTGTGTGGGGGAGTGGGTGCATGGGTGTGTGCATGTATGTGTGGTGAACTGTCACCACAAAAGCCCCTTTTCCACCCAGATGAGCAGACCCAAAACTGAAACAGCTAAACCTTAGAGCCTTCTGCAGCAGACAACATGAAGCACACTGAAACCGTTATATTGCCTTTTTCAGAGTTGTTCTTGTGCAGTTCTTTCTTCAGTTTCCTTACTTCGACTTTTTTTATTTCTCTCTTCTTGCAGCTCCTCTTTTACTCTGCCTCTCACGGACAAAGCTCGCCACGATGATTGTGGTTCAGTCCGAGCAGCCCACATCAGCATGTGCCATAAGGGCCCACTTGCACGGTATGAAAAGGAGGCAGAGTGAAGTAGGGGGATGTAGTTTGTCTGTTTTCTTTATGATGGTATGTTCTCTTTACGATGCTCATTCATATGCCTTTAGTAGTTCTGCAGAGGGGAAGGGAGAAGGGAGAAATGGAAGAGGAGGGAGATGAGGAGAAGAAGAAACAGAACAGGGGGGGGGAAATGAACTTCACAGGGTTCTGATTATTCACCGGCAGAGCGGACTCCGATAGTATGGCGAAAGAGACCCGTCAGCATTTGGGTTGCTGAAAAAACAAAGTTGAGGAGAGGGTGCCATCCATGATAAAAAGCCACCCCTGCTAACTGGACAGGACCAGTTTGGGTGTGGACTGTGGAAACACCGCATCCAGTTCACACGACTGCAGTTGCTGCATGGAATGTGTGCATGTGTGTGTGTGCATGTGGATGTGTGCGTGTGGGTAA